TCCAAGTTCAAACCCAGCCTGGGCAACTTAATGACTCAAAATTTGATTTTTCTTTCTTTTTTTTCCATACCAGGGATTGAACTCACCATGCACTTGCAAGGCAGGCCCTTTATGCCGCTGAGCTAAATCCCCAGTGAATCAAAATTTTAAAAAAATTTGAAAAGAGCAGGATGTAGATCAATCTGAAGACCTTGGGTTCAACTTCCAGTACAACTGTTAAGAGAAAGAGGAAGGGAAAAGAAAGGAAAAAAAAGAGAGAAGAAAAGTGAGTGAGAGAGAGAGAGAGAGTTGAGGTTGTTTGAATGTCCCAACCACTATACAAACAAACTATACTCACTCCAAGGAGATGAAACACAGCTGACACCAGGGTCACATCCTGCATAAATGTTATGGTTTGGATAAAAAATGTCCCCCCAAAGGGTCATGTGTTGAGAGCTGGGGCTGTTAGGAGGTGCTTAGATCCTGGGGTATTAACTTCACCGGTTAGGAAGCAGGAGCAAGTCCTTGGGGCATAGTCCCCTGGAAGGGTAGGTTTATGTTCCCGGCCCCTTCTTCTCTCTCAGACTCTTCCCTTCTCTCTTGGTCCCCAGATGCCGTGAGGTAAGCAGCTTTTCTCTGCCATGATGTTTCTGACTGGGTGACTGATTGTGGACTGAAACCACTAAAATTGTAAGCAAACTTTTCTTCCTTTAAGTTGTTTCCATCGGGTAGCCTGTCCCAGTCATAGAAATGTGACTAATACAGTAGATGAACAGGATTGGCATCTGGGGGCTGCCGTGGCACTGGTGGTACAGGTCGTGGCACAGCTGCCTGATCCCGAGGCCCTTGATGCTCCTCTCCACATCTCTCCCTCCTTAGGTGCAGCCCTTTGGCAGGGGGACAGGTAACTGCAGACACCCAGTTGCTAATCATAGCTACCCATTCATTCCTCCAATTCTTGATTTCTTCTCACTTTGTGGATTTTCTCCAACTTTTTCTTCCCTCCACAAGTTTCTCTTCCTTTCTAAATTCCAAGGCTGCTGCCACCCTAACTTATTCCCTTTCTCCTTCACTGTCAACTGAATCTAACAGCTCTGTCTATCAACAGATGGTGATAGTTAGTCCTGCATATGCCATTATAGTGGGGTGCACTGTCCTTTCAGTTCAAATATCTACACCCCTTCCCTCCTCCCCAACACAAGGAAAGGGCAGGGATCCTAGATTTTTCTCCACTTACATTGCTTTTTGTTTGTTTGATACCAGGGATTGAACTCACGACCTTGAGCCTGCCAGGCAGGCACTTCTGCTGCTGAGCCAAATCTCCGGTCCTAAATTGTTCTTTTGAAATTGGGGCTAAATAACTTTCACTTGGGTTGAATTTAGCTCTTCTCAATTTTCATCAAATCATTTGATATTTTCCTTTTAATACTGAATCCTATATAAAAGCCAGGTGATATAAAGATGAATTTGAAAAGAGCTTCTCACTCACAAATATGGACTCACTTGATTCTCTTAATAATGCTATGAGGAAGGCAGGTGAACAGGGACTATTATCCTCCCTGATTCAAGAAATGGAGATGAACAGTTCAAGTCACCTGCCAAAGAAAAAAAACCACCTCGCTAGGAAAGGTTGTGGCCCAAATGCAAACCCAGAGCACTAGGACACCATGGCACACTGCTTCTGAGAGGCCTGTTAGAGATGACTCCCATGACAGAGAAACATTTGGAATGATTCTTAGGACACAGAATTGCATGTAATGGAAATAGACATTCTGAAGAATCAATTTTAAATCAAGAAGGCATCAGCTGGATCATGTTACAATCTAGCCCTACCACAAGTGTTCATTTATAGGATTGTTTTTAATTGAGAAATATCATTGATATTTCTATCATAATTTTTTAAGGAAGATGATACTGGGTCATTTCTCTGGAATAACACCTTATATCAGTTACTAATGGAGTCCTGGTGTTCATTTTAATCATGTGTCCAGACATGGAGGGAAAAACGGAGAACCTTCCAGACTCTTCCAGATTCTTGGAGTGAATATATATATATATATATTTTTTTTTTTTTTTTAAATCGCATTAGCAAAATAACTCTTTCCTGGGGAGGCACCATGGAGGCTGAAAGAGGATTCTCCTGGCTGCCAACTGGGGGACTTTTGCCACCTTGCCTGAGGGCTTTCCTGGCTCTACCTTATTTAAACACATACGTTCACTCACAAGCACCTTTGATTTACAGCGCTGTAGCTCAACTGTTTTGAAAAGCTGATGTTGTGGAATCCTTAAGTCATCTGTGACCTAGGTCACTAAAGACAGGAGCAATTTAGTAAAAGTATTAATTGAAACTCTCCTGACAAGCCCCACTCCTTCAGATAAAGTTACACATCAAACCCACACAGGCTGCCGGGCTATTCTGAGCAGCCTTGGATTTTCAATATCTCATAAACAGGCCCCTCCATCACTACAATCTAATAAGGCTATAATCATCATTGACACTATAATGATTAAAATGAATAAAACCCATTAAGAAAAGTCATGTTGAGTTATTAAAAGTTTCGCTCTGCGTGATATGTAATCTTTTATCCATTTTTTATGATGAAATCTGTAACCATCTATCCACAAAAGACCATTAATTTACTGCTCTGTGGATGTTATCATGCTCTTTAGTTTAACAGCTTATCATTGATTTCTTGAGGGAGATATTATATTTGGAGAAATACACATGGAACAAAAGCCCGAATGTTGCTGTAAATTTCCCGCTGACAGGATGATCAAAGTATTGGCGCTGGTCAGCCACACGGGGCTGGCCAGTAAGTTTTCAAGAGGAAAGCAAGCCCTCAGGCTACCAGGAACAGATACATGTTTTCAGGCATCACAAATGCTTCTAGGGAAAGGTCATGTGTAAGGCGGGGGTGTGGTAGTGGGGGGAGAAACAATAAAATGTCCATTAACTGGAGCTAGTTAACTGGCTTATTGGCATCTATTAGAAACAAATTGCAAACAAAAGTGATCCTATTATAAACTTCTCCTCGGCCCCTCGTGGAGAGAAGCTTCTGATTGGCTCCAAAGAGGCTCCAGCAAATTCAGCGTTGTCAGATGGCTCCTTTACTTGCGAGGGGATTGGGTTTCTGCCAGCAGTGGGTTCCAGCCCTGACTAGAATGAAACACAAAGTTGGGAGGGACCCATGGCCCCATCCAACAGAAAGAGCCCTGGAGAGACAGCTAATGTACTCCTGCCACATTCTTTGGGCAGGGACTTTTCCCCCTTAAGCAAACAGCAGTAAAAAAATGTGAATGGGAAAGTGTGTACACAGAGCTGGGAGTTAAGTGGTGAGGAGCCGAGCTTCATGTGTACTTTTTCTCATAATAAACTCTGCTCTAGTATCTTTACTGTTCATCTCCTATTTAATCTTATTAACTGTAAAACCTAAAAAGATTCTGTGAAGCCAAGGAAAGGGTGTTGTCTTAGAAGGCGGTCTTCATTTTTCCTGAAATGATGAATAAATGTGTTTGCCAGCCTTCTCCTCTTGCTGAACAGATTTGCTGGGGTTCTCCCGCACACAGGGACGAAGCCCCACTACACAGGTGGGAATGGGGGGCTTATGTGTTGTCCTTGTTTTCCAGATTTGCTTCCTTGGTTGAGGGTCTGCTGGGTCCCCCCCTACTTTATCTAAATAAGATTAGGTTATAAATGTCATTCCATTAGCATACCATCTCTTTTACTAAGGGAAGCCTGTCTTTACAAAATAATCAAATATTCTTTATGATCCTCCCTCTTAAAAGAAAACAGCAAATTCCATTTATAAGGTTGAAGTATAGTTCAAAGCGCAGTGAACAGACATCGATTTTTATCAATCTTTGGAGAGTTAATTTAAGTCTACACCATTTTATCATGTAAGACAAAATGGTTGCTAGATGAAATTAAAAGGCAAATTCACCAAGAATAAAAGGGAAATTGTTCTTTATATAATATACCATTAACCTATGGAAATAACTGCTTTGGGGCATGGTTGAAGCTAATAGCTTAGTAAAAAAAAATTTTAAATGATGTAATACTTCTACAGATAAGAATGGCATTAAGTGCCTGTTAACTATCAGTCTTAACATTTCTGAGCATACTCTTCCCATCGGGAGCGAGACGGTTCACATGCCCTTTCCCGGCTCTCACTAAGCTGGGGGAATGGGTACCGTGATATCTGGGGCACAGACCAGCAGCTTCGTCTGCTCTTCTCAGACTTCCATCCTACCAGGACCCAGGGGGTTAGGGATTCCCCAAAGAGAAAACAGGATTAGGTGAGCTCCTCGTGAGTTTCCAGGTCTATGTTCTCCCTCCTTTTGGGGGTGTGTAATCAAGACATATTGTGGTATAAATACTTGACTATTCTAAAGGCCCTTCAGGGAATTACAAAACTACTTAAACTTTCTGATAAAAAGGTTAGAAGCAAATCTGTGTGTGTGTGTGTGTGTGTTAACATAAAGTAAAATAAATAAGCCAGAGAGAGGATAAGGAAATAAGGAATCATTTTAGAACATCAAAGAAGTCTTCTTTTAGTATATCTTCAGAGAAAGTGAAATTGACTGTTAAAATACCTATAAAAATTTTAAAGACATTCATGAATTTTAATTTATCATCGTGGTATTAAAAATATAGCCTTTTCTACCCACAGAGGCACTGAGGATTCTGCAACATGAAAGTTTTCCTGGTGTTAATTTGATTAATTAGAACCTTTCGAAGTGAGGTGCTTATTCTCTACCCCCTAGAAGACCCCCAAAGGTTACACAGAAATTCTACAGAAAAAACCAAGAGGGGCCAAAGTTCTTGGTGAGGGCTCCCATTGGCCAGCAGAGGCCTCCGGGATGAGTCAGCAGTTCTGTGATTACAGGTGGAGAGGGCAATAAAAGCTTGCTGAGTTTCGTTATTGAAATTATATGGTTTCATAAATAGTATAGTGTTGTTCTCAGCAGGTAAATGTTAGATTTTAATGACATCCATGCTATAACACATACAAATGCTCGTGCTCAAGGTCAACAGCCTTCTTCAACACAGTGCAGCTGCAGCCTGGCCCGGAGGCTGAGGATGAATAATTCAGGCTGCACTGAGAGGAGAGTGCGGGAGAGAAACTGAGATCACAGCACCTAGCTTGTTAATTAGGAAAAAATGTCTTCCTGCTCGGCCATTTGAAGGCATAGGACACGTGTGCGAGGACTAGCGACACAGGACTGGTAGAGGTGACTAAGCTCTCGGGAGCCGAAGGGCCTGGGTGAGAACCTCGCTCAGGAAGGCAGCCGACCAGCTGCAAGGGTGAGGAGCTAAGTCTGCAGACTGACTGCTGGAAGTCAGTGTGCGCCTGCCTCAGTTGGCTCCCTTCAGGACAGGACAGGACAGGACAGGACAGGACAGGACAGGACAGGTAAGAGGTTTGAACATCTAAACTGCCTCCTGAACTTAGAAACTTTAAAAGGAAAAAAAAGTGTTTTGAGAACCTAGGTTTTGCTTGGGTTGTTAATAAGTCAGCTTTATTTCATTGAACATGCATTCATTAGCTAGAATCCTTGCAGCTGTTTTCCTTTAGTGCTCTGCTAGCCGGACAGCTGGGACTGGTGTGACTGTTTCATTTCTATAAATGACACGTTTTTACTCCTCTCTTTAAATGTCTCTCTCCAACATGGTAACACTTTTTCAAGTATTGCATCCTGGAAAATTACTAAGAGAGTAGATTATGTGTCTCACACACACAAAATAAGTATGCGAGGTTAATGGGTATGTTAATTATCTTGATTTAGCTATTTTCCACTGTGTATGTATAGCAAATCATCCTAAGTCCAGGTGTGGTGGTGCACGTCTATAATCCCAGCACTTAGAAGGCTGAGACAGGAGAATTGCTGCAAGTTTGGGCTACACAATGAGTCAAGGCCAGCCCAGGCTGTGTAGAGGTAGATAACTTTGAGGTAGATAACATCACTATTTTATACAGACATGAAGCCAAAGTTCCAAGAGCTGTTTGATGACCTCAGGTCAAGCCTGTCACGTGATGTCAGGTCTTCTATCTCCAAATCTTCTCTCTCCCACACCAAACTTTATATTAGGAATTTGAACACCACGTGATTCTTAGTAGCCATTTTTAGTCATAGCATGTTCGTTCATCATTGCTTATCCTTTATTGATTTGTCTCTTCACCCTGTGAACATTATGGAAGAGAGTGGTTTGAGAACGGCTATCCCAAACAGACAATACGGGGAATGGCAGCAGACCTGAGAGGCTGCCTGCCACCAGTTATCCACTCTGCCTTTCCTTGCTGAAAGAACCCTGAGTTTGTCTGAGGTCTTCGCTCCCTCTGTATGATTCATAGAGAAAGCCTGTTTAGATCAAGCCAGCCAAGTTCATGCCATTTTCGACCAATGATGAGTCTAGAAAAGAGAGTGTGAGTTTCTGTCCAATGAGACTCAAGGGAAAGCATGCCAAAGGTCTTCTCAGGAAGCTTACTTTGGTTTTAAAGAGAAGTATTTCAGGGAAGACTCCCCGCTTTTCGAATGGGTAGTATCATCTCATGACCATGGGATGAGCTAACCTCAGGAAGAAGCCCACACACACCACTAATGACAGAGCTGGGTCCTTGCTAATGACAACCCTGCAGCCACCATGCCTCAGGACTCTGTGATATGTAAGAAAATAAAATTCTCCTATTGCTTGAGACAGTTGGGTGGGGATTATCCTTTATCTGCAGCTAAACATCTCCCAACAGAAAATTCGACCAAGTGAACAGGCTGGATACGTATCTCAGATGAAGGGCATTTAAAATTATATTATCAGTTATATTGCCAGTTAAATTTTACATCAAATGGCAAAAAAACTATTATATTTGTGAGATGCTCCAGTTTTTTAAAAAATGTATACTTTCTTTTCCAAAATGAGAATCCTCTTCTGTCTAGACCTGAAGGTACCTGAAAGACCCAATATAGGATCATCTAGCATTTTAATAAGAACTTGAATATAAGTTTGGAGATCAAGATAATGAAGTAATTAGGAGCCTATTAATTGAAAGCTTTGGATAATAAATGTAGTCTGAAGGAAACACTGTAATTCTGCTCCTACAATGGAGAAGAATACTGCCAGGCCAAACTGTATCGTCTGTTAAGATCACAAAAATGTTTGCAGTAGTTTGTAGAGTCCCCAAAATGATGCCTGAGATGAGCAAGGCTCAAAACACAATCAGGATTTACAGTCACACTGAAAAAATGATCTGCCATGTTTTCCTTGTGAGATGTAGTGATATAAAAGTGTGCAATGTAAACCATATTTCAGGGAGAGAGTAACAAAGAAGTAAAATAAAAATGGCATGGTCACACATCTATGATCCAAATATCTTAGTGCATGTCATAATACTTCCAGTGAAGAACATCTTGAATCAGTAATGCTTGAGCTATAAATTTATGATCAACAAATATCAAGAAATTCAATTACTTTGAGATAAAGGTCATTTTCCTAGCTCCTGCAGACCTTAGGCCAGTATTTCTTTGAGCTTATTAGGTATTAATAGATGTGCTTCCCCACCAAAAAAAAAAAAAAGGAACATCTTGATTCAGGTTTCTCTACAACAGAGTTTGAGCTAAGGATTAAAATGAAAGAGAGGCTAATGGGGGGGAATGTTATATGTATGTATGAAAATGCCACAATGAAATCCAATATTTTGTAAATTTAAAATATTATTAATTTTGTACTGTATCTATCTATCTATCTGAAAAAAGCCAATACACACATTTTTAAAAATTGCAAATAGTAGCTGGGCATGGTGACACATAAGGTACTTGTAATCCTAGCACTCCGGGAAGCTGAGGCAGGAGGATCACAAGTTTGAGCTCAGCCTGGGTAACTTAGCGACTTAGCAAGACCCTTTCTCAAAATGTAAAAGGGCAGAGGATGCAGTGCAAAGGTCCTGAGTTCAATCCCCAGTACTACAAAAAGAAAACGATGCAAACAACTTATTTAGGAGATGGCCTCAGAAAGCACCGACAGGGGAGTGGGGAAGTGACATGCAAACGAGAAGAGAACCAGAATTGGATGCTTTATCAAGGAAGTCACTGCCTTAACAGGTGAAGACCAGCACTACTGGGAAACTCTAAGAAGCATCTTAGAACATGCTTTGGTTTCCTAGCACAGGAGGAGCAGATGTGCTAACTCCTCATCCACATTGATTGTGCACCGCCGTAGGGGCATCAAGAACTCTCTTGTTCTTCCTGCTTCCCTGATGAGCTCCCATCACCACCAAAAAAGGAAGGAGAGCTCCCTGGGTGTTCAGAGAGTGCAGCTTTCAGAGTGCAGAACATCAGCTGAAGGAACAGGTATGGCCAAGTGGAGCTGCTCCCCTGAGGGACAAACACTGTGTGCCTGATCTCCCATTTGGTCATGTGGCTGTGCTTTCCCATATTGAAGGCTTGGAGAAGATCTGCCTAAGACACTTGTTTAGGGTGGATTAACTTGAATTAGTATCTCAGTTGTGCATTGGTGGAACTATTGATAGTAAGCTTCACTTTGGGAAAAGCTGCTCCAGATAAAACAATAGTAGTCACACATTGTTTGTGTAAAAGATGAGCTGGGATAGTTCCTTAGGGGTTTTATTTGGGAAATGTGGAGAGATCTATGCCCTTTTCAGGGTTGGAAATGTAAAGGATGCGTAAAGACAAACCATGAGGTAGCATCGGTGTTATGAGACAGAGGTGGATCGGGAACTGTGAGTGACCTCGCCGAGCTGAAATGGTGACTAAGCCAAGACCGTGAGAAAGAAAACACGATGAATTCATTGAAAGGAGAAAGCAGAAGAAAAGAATAAATGTGTGGAGCCAGTTGCAATCAAAGACAAGCGCAGATATTCTGAGTGCTGGGTCAGGTCTCTGGTGGAGCACTAGGCTTGGGCCAATAGAGCCACCATAGATCCAGAAATGTTTTACATTTTGTACTTTGTGATGTCTGGCCCTTTTGGGCTATGTTCTTGGAACCCTGTGAAGATCCTTATCCTAATCCTTACCTACAGTGCCATTTTCTTAAATTTGCTTGAGTAGGGCACTGTTGTTTCAACTGAACAAATTTTATAAACTAGCAGTCCATTAGGGTCTGCTAACAGGCCAAATTGTCAAGTAATATCTGTGACTAGAAGAGGTGCTTGGACAGAATAGGAAAAAAAGAGATGTGAGAAGGGTATTCCAAGGATTATTTCCTGTCAAGAGTGCAGGAAATGGCAAGATTGTGGCTTCTCATCTGGGTGCCAGGAAACTTCCAGAACATTCTGGCTCTGGATAACTACAAAGCCAATTACATTCAGCTAGATAGAGTAGTCTATAAAAAAGACATCGTATTACAGTGATGCATGCATACTCGTGTTTGTAGCAGCACAGTTCACAATAGTTAAATCTTGAAAGAATATGATAGGTTCATCAACAGATTTTTTAAAAATGTGTTATTTATATGCAATGGAATACTACTCTGCCATAAAAAGATAAATTTGAGTCACTTTGAAACCGAAGTGTTAAGTGAAGTCAGACACACAAGCTTAAATATTGAGCGTTTCACTTACATGAGAGACCCAAAATATAAGCAAAGTACAAGATGAAGATAATAGAGAGCTGGGGATATAGCTCAGAGGCACAGTACCTGCCTGGCAAGTGCAAGGTCCTGAATTCAATTCCAGGACCAAATAAATAAATAATAAATAAATAAAAAAGAAGAAAGCTAAGCTCCCTCCTGTGAGCCAGTCAGAGTGGATCTGGGAGAACAAGAAAGGAAGCTAAGCCCTCACATATGAGCCGGCCAGCGCACAGGCTGGGGAGAGGAGAATGTCCCCCACATTCTGGGGGCAACCAGATTACTTGGAGGAACAGTTTGATTGACTTTGCAAACCCAAAGTCAGGCAACTATTTAGGGGACAACAATAGGCAATATAGTAACTATTGTGGATTTTCTAGTGTCTTATCACTTTTTTATTGCTCTGATTTATTCCCTTTAAAATAAAATTAAAAACAAAGAAACGTAAGGAAAAATAGGGAGATAGATCTTTTGTAAAAGGGAAGGGGACCAAGAAATGGAGGAAAGGGAAAGGGAGAGGGAAGGGCAGAGATGAGAAAATAATTAATATGTGTCATAAACATGCACCAACTTTCCATAAGGAATATACGGATTAGGTACTGCAAACATATACTAATTTTAAAAAGAGAGAACTTTACCTGCTATATTATCCCTATCCCCTGGCTCTCTTTTTTCTACTCATCAATTTGAGCTTAACTTCTTAGAGCAGCAAATGGAGATGGTTTGGAGAACTTACACTGGTGTGGTGGATTAACTAATGGTCAATTTGAAACACCCCTCTGTACTGAATCACAGTGGTGCTGGGCATGGATGGCCCACCTGAGGATTGTTGCC